AAAACTGGTTAAGATACATTTGATGTTACAGTTATAAGTAAAGATTGTTAATAGCACATGTGATGCTACAGTTACATGTAAAACTACTTAATAACACATGTGACGTTACAGTTACAAATAAAACTAGTTAAGATACATGTGACGTTTCAGTTACAAATAAAACTAGTTAAGATACATTTGACGTTACAGTTATAAATGCAACTAGTTAAAAACACAAGTGACGTTTCAGTTAGAAGTAAAACTTGTTAAAACACATGTGACGTTTCAGTTACAGGTAAAACTAGTTAATGATGCATATAACGTTACAGTTACAAGTAAAACTAGTTAAAAAACATGTGACGTTACAGTTACAAATAAAATTAGTTAAACACATGTGACTTTACAGTTACAAATGAAACTAGTTAAGATACATGTGACGTTACAGTTACAAGTACAACTAGTTAATACACATATGACGTTACAAATAAAACTAGTTAATAACAAATGTGATGTTAAAGATACAAGTAAGACTAGTCAATAACGCATATGATGTTACAGTTACAATAAGAACTAGTTAGTACACATGTGACGTTACAAGTAAAACTAGTCAATAACGCATGTGATGTTAAAATTATAAATAAAACTAGCTAATGCACCCGTGATGTTGCAGTTAAAATTACAGTTAAAGCTAAAATTAACTCATACACATATAATGTTACAAGTGAACCCAATTATCACAGACATGGTTTTTATGTAAACAAACCTATCAACGCTGAGTCTGGTAAGCGGTTACCAACGAATATTAGTTGCTATAGAAGCAATGTTTTTCTGTAATTTACACTATGGTATTGGTACAAAAATACATATCTGTTAGACGATTTAAAGCAACGAGAACAGTAATTCATTTAGAACTTTAAAAACTTTCACACAATAGACAGTTTAACAAATGTATTTGTGCAGTAAACGCTTTAACTAAAATGCTATGCATAATGATGGAGATGAGTGAAGATATCCGGAATGAGTTGTCTCGAATAATTAGTAATAATTACAACGTATGAACATTTATTGTTTTATCATCAAAGTTTTCACTGATCTGTGTAACCTTAGTAACGAGAGGAATTATGATGGATTGTTTAATTATGTCTAAGTATGCTTGAACATTTAATGTGCCCCTTGGGTCATATGGTGCATGAAATTACACATAGTTGTACTTATTCCATTATTGTTCCCTGATTAGAAACTTTATAAACCATTCCTCTAAAGACACAACTTGAAGGTATTTGTTTCATCGACACACTAAGTTTTGCAAACCATCCTGGGAAATATACAAATGAACTAAAAACTACACATGAAGCCTTGCAAACCATCTTACCAAACATGCAAATAAACTAAAGACCACACGCAAAACCTTGCAAGCCATTATGGCAAACATGCAAATAAATTAAAGACCACACGCAAAGCCTTGCAAGCCATTATGCCAAACATGCAAATAAACTAAAGACCACACGCAAACCTTGCAAGCCATTATGCCAAACATGGAAATAAATTAAATACCACACGCAAAACCTTGCAAGCCATTATGCCAAACATGCAAATAAACTAAATACCAAACACTAAACTATCCTGCCAAATAAACAGATAAATTAAAAAAGACTCACTAGCGTTACAAACCATATTAAAAACATCCCACCAAACAAATAAAATAAAAATTATTTATTCACACAGTTATAGCCCCCCAGTGGCTCAGCGGAACATCTGAGGGCTTGAAGCGCTAGAAATCGGGTTTCGTTACTGGTGGTGGGCAGAGTGCAAATAACCCATTGTGCTTAACAGCAAGCAAACAAATCATACTTACAGTTCGCACATTGTATTCCTGTTTTAAACATGAGGAAAAATCTAAAGAAAATTTAATGACTTAAAGTACAATAAAACGTACGTTTATTTTAAAGTAAACACTTCTTCCCGAGAAACTTAGTTCTGACCGTTAAAATTAGTTTCTTCCATTTGATGGAAAACCAGTTCTGACAGTTAAAAGTTTTCTAAACTTGACAGAGAAACTAGTTCTGACCGATAAAAGTACTTTTCTCCATTTATCAGATAAACTAGATTTGACCGTTAAAAGTAGTTTACTCCACTTGATATAGAAACTAGTTCTGACCGTTAAAAGTAGTTTACTTCACTTGATATAGAAACTAGTTCTGACCGATAAAAGTACTTTTCTCCATTTATCAGATAAACTAGATTTGACCGTTAAAAGTAGTTTACTCCACTTGATATAGAAACTAGTTCTGACCGTTAAAAGTAGTTTACTCCACTTGATATAGAAACTAGTTCTGACCGTTAAAAGTAGTTTACTCCACTTGATATAGAAACTAATTCTCTCAAATTACATGGCTATACTTAGTGAAATATAACTATTTTGAACCACCAACACACGACCCAAAATGTACAATGTGTTTGTTTGTAATTAAGCACAAAGCTACACAATGGTGCTCTGCCCACCACGGGTATCGAAACCTGGACATACCGCTGTGTTACTGGGGGGCGGTACAATAATAAAACTTCGTAATTTTTACAATATACATGTAGGATTAGACTGCATATTTTATATGTTGTAGGAACTTTAGTTGAGTGTAGTAGTTTTATTCGGATTCTTAATGGATAGCAAAATTGCACGTTTTATATACACATTATTTAACATATATTCTTTAAAATTGCAACTAAATGCTTGCATGATATTTAAGCATGTCAGTTAAATCACCGGAAATTTATACACATATAATTTAACTGACACTTTATTAGCAAACCAAATCTTTGCTGGACAGACTACTTTCATTTGTAATCTATCAGTAGCCAAAGTTAATTATATTTTTCCATCACTTTCATTAACCAATATTTCTTAAGGACCTGGCGTGGCTCAGTGGTTAGTATGCTGGACTGTGAATCCAAAGGTTCATGGCTAACGTCTAGTTACCATAAATTTGCGCTCTGCACTTCAGGGTCATGGGTGCGTTATAAGACTGAGGTCAAATGCCACTTTTGATCAGTATAACCTAAGAGTTAGAGGTAGGTAATGTTGACTAGCTACCTTCCCTCTAATATATCAGTTAAAAATCAGACAACTAGTGCAGATATCCCTTGCATAATTTGTGAGAATATCCGAAACAAACAAATTAACTCAGGACTTGACAAAGATACCACTTTTTAAACAAATAACTATTTGTTCTAACTTATTGATCACCTTTCTGAATGCTTTTTTCACATACCTCATCAGTGTTAATAATAATTATCATTCAGACAGATTAAATGTACAACTAGAATTGATACTTGTCGTGTTCGTTTATTATACGATTGGCTGATTTAAACTCTCATTGTTTAAAGTCTTACGCATTCCCATGTTTTAGTATGTTAAATTGACGAGTTGCTTTCAGTTAGTTCGATAACAAATCCAAAGCAGAGGAACTTTAGTTTCTACTTTTCTCTGCTTTGTAAAGATGAACAATGCCACTGTTTTGCTTGTACTTACAAACATAGTTATCTGTAACTCATATGAATATCTACTATTTTCAAAGCTTTATCAAAATCTACTTCCTCCTCAAGAAGGTTCCTACAGACAAAAAGTAAAAGTAGACATCATACAGAAAGATCCAATTGTTCCTGACATTCTTTCAACACAGCCGTAAATTACTAGTGAGTCTCTATCGTTCTTTAAATCCTGTCAATAGAGCAGACGACTGCTGTGAACAAAGTAGATATCTCTAGGGTCTACTACCTAGATCACATTATTTATAATTTCGTTTTTATTCTTAATATTAGTCTTTCCCAGCTAACCTCAAGGGCTATAGATCATTATCAAAATCTTTGTTCCTCGGGAAAAAAAATAGCAGAATTATACACTTGTTTTTTAACAATTGTGAACACAACTTGTTAAAAGAGAACTTTAGCAAAAAAACAACTAAAAAATACGGAAGGTCAGATACTCAGAAAGACCATTACACTACCTTATCTTAAAGATTGCCATAGTACTTTCTATTAATTAAGATTTTTGTTAATCACATTTCATAAGATATGCACATTTTAAACTTAAAAACACTAATTTTTGCACTTCAATGGGCTGGTTCGATTAGGTTGGATGCAACAAGGAATATTGAAATATCACTATGAATTAAAACCTTTGTTGTTTTTGTAGAATTTTATACAAAGCTACTCAGGAAATATCTGTACTAGCCGTTTCTAATTTTGAAATGATATACTAAAGGGAAGTTAGCTAGTCAATACCACTCACCGTCAACTCTTTGGCTCCTCTCTCATCGAATAGTGAAATTTAACCGTCACTCTTATAACGCACCCATGGCCTCAAAATGCGAAGCATGATAGTTTTTGGCAGTAATGGGGCTCGAACCACGGGTTCTCGGATCCACAGTCCGATATACTAATCACAGGGCCGCGTTCGGTCCGACTTAAAAAGAAAATATTAATAAATATTTGGTCAAAACCAATATTGGGACTGTAATTAGCAGTGTAAACAAGATCGTTCATGAAGTTTTACTCATCTTCAAAGAGAGTCACCTTTAATTAAAAACGTTTGGGCAAAGTAAGTATCCATCTTTTTTATAACTTTCTCGAAGCTAGTTTCTTCGTGTTATTTATGAGGCTTGCTAGTAAATTATTTGTATTTTGTAGAAATAGCTTCGTTGAATAATTCAAATAAATAAAAATAAGGGGAAACGTATTGCAATGTTTATATTTTAAAATTACCCTCCTAATGGCTTGAGGATTTATTACGTTAAAATTCTAGATTCTATGCCTGTGGTGGGCCCAGGACAGATAGCCTTACGTGCAGCTTTATGCTAAACAACAAATAAAACATTTCGAAAGAGTAACGAACAATATCTATATGTGTGTGTGTTTTAAATCTTTGAGAACTAAGTTTGAAGCAAACTTACAACTGGAAAACTTCTTTAAAGACTTCTATTCAGATGTTTACTAAAATCATGATAGAGTATTATTCAAGAACTTACCGTTAAAGTTCCTGTAGTCAGGTGATGCTGTGGGTAGCTCTACCAGTATCAAAAATAAAGTCCATTCCACACCCTCTTCGCACTCGTCAACTTAAACTGTTTCGACGTCAGGATTTCCAAATATTCAAGCGGCAGCAGAAACGCGGGAAAATTCTTCAATGCGTACTTACCACCCGACGGTTTTGCGAATATTACTGCGAAAACGATTCACTGTCGCATTACTACAGTGGACATCGATTTCCCAGTTGTGTCACAAGGGGCGCTGTAATCAGGATATGTGTATGCTTTGAATGAGTCATGTTAATAGGCCTTGTTTAGTTTGCCCTCTTTGGTTACAAAAACGCAAAATATTTTCCCTGTGCATTCAGTATTCAGTGTGAAATGTGATATTCTTGTTTTTAATATCTATGTTTTAGTATAATTTTACTTTAAAATTGAAGGAAGAAATTATTTTGTTGAAGCATGATATGGTAATGTATTCTTTCCGTGATAAGTCAAAAAACATTTTTAACGAGTCCTTTGAAAGTCGGAGATACTCGAAATTTTTTTCAACCCACATGTTTTATTATGTCTGTGGTTCCATCATGTAGTTTATAGCATTTAATTACTTTTTCTTTAAATGAAATATCTTTTTCCCCCCAAAAAAATTGTGCTATGGTCAAAGCAACTCATTAAACCCAGATAAACCCTATATTATCCACTTGTCTCTGTATTAATGCAGTTTCGAGAATTCATACCGTTATAAGTAACCCTGGGAAAGAACAAGACTAAAAATGCTCAGACCTCATAACATGGTGAGCTGTATTAATCAGCGCGTCTAATTTGTCTTTCTTGATTCATCCCAAAGTAAACCACTTTCAGTTAAGTTACTTACGTTGTAAAGGAAAACTTAAATGTCCTAACATAAACAATGTCAAAGGGGGGGGGTCAATTTATACAAGTAGAAATATATGAAGGTAATATTTTAAGCAGACATAAAGATGAAGTGATCACGTAATAAACAAGATGGATGCGTATATAAAGATCAGGTTGCCTTAATACGTAAATTACGTCACACATTGAAATGATGAAAACTTCACAGGTGTAAAAACGAAAAATGTCGTGACTGATAATTTTAATATACTAAAAACATAATGTACACTTGGATTTTTTTACGCTATCGTTCGGATTATATATATATATATATATACACGTATACATCAGTCTAGAAGAGTAGTGAAACCTACGAAATCAGTACTTTTAAAGTACATGTGACTGTGTCAGGAAAGGCTTGTCGTTGCTTTCCAAAGCAGGGGGAACCTTAATGTATTACACAGTAATCTTGTCATTTGTTGTTGTTTTTTTCTCGTTAAAATACACAGTACGTCACACGGTAAAAACACTTCTCATGTTATATTCAATGGACAGAAGACAAATCAGATAAATATTTGACTGTATATGAAATCTTAAAATGTTATCTTGCTACCTAAAAATGTAGTGCAAAACTACAACTAGAGTAACAACAAAAATATTATAAAATAGGATGTGGAAGCAAGTATTTCAATACCTTTACTAAATTTATGAAAGTTACTCACTCTGCTCATATTCAGAACAACTAATAGAACTTCGAAATATGCGTTATTGTGTATTATTTTATGTGTCGCTAATAGTTCAGAATGCAAACTAAAAATCTGTTTCTTCCGTAGTCCAGACTCAGTACTCTATCGATTAGATCATTAGAACAACCGTGTGATCTGCCGACCGAGCAGCCAGTTAGCAGCGGTTTACACAAGCTTATGAGAAAGGAACATCTTGTTTCTGTGAAGTTGTTACCAGCGTTGCAGATGATATATTGCCTAATATTCATAATTTGTTGATCAAGAGAGTGTATTCTGTTATGCTTCTCAGCGTTTACATCCAAACCAAATATATCAAAAGCAGTAAGCTTTGGATCCTATTGACACCGCCGAATCACGTGTATTTATTCAAGCCAAATATCAGTAGTGCATACACTAATATTCGTCATTACCTACAAGATTATCCGTTAGAAAGACGACAGAGAAAATCTGACCAAATTTGTACAGAGAAAAAACTAAACACGATGCAACGAACAAACACATTCGGTAAGCATTCCTCTGCATTCAAGAACATTTTAAACAAGTGTTCCTCTGGGTTGCAGAAAGCCTTAAACAAGCGTTCGTCTGCGTTTAAGAACACTTTAAACAAGTGTTCATCTGCGTTCAAGAACACTTTAAACAAGTGTTCCTCTGTGTTCAAGAACACTTTAAACAAGCGTTCCTCTGTGTTCAAGAACACTTTAAACAAGCGTTTCTCTGTGTTAAAGAACACTTTGAACAAGTGTTCCTTTGTGTTCAAGAACACCTAAAACAAGCATTCCTTTGCTTTAAAGAAGCGTTCCTCTGCGTTCAAAAACATTGAACATTGAGCGTCCCATTGAGTTAAATAACACCTTGAATAAACATTCCTCAACATTCAGTACATATATAAATATGACTAAATATTTCAGATGATAAAACACCACGCACCATATCTATGTTTGTGAAATAAATTAGAAATATTCACTTATCAGCGAATTCTGCATCCCCCGAAAATCTGAGCTACGATAACTGGGAAGCAATACTTTTTAAGTCGATTAATGTGATTTGGGTTTCTTTGATGAATCAGAATGGTAGCATTTGATTTTCAGAACATACTGGTAGTCAGAGTATAAACACTGAGATTCAGGTGTACCTTTGAACTTTAGGCGACCCTGGTGAATCATGATATGGCTTTTGACTTTTAGAGCGCTGGGGAATCAATGAGTAGCCTTTAAACTACAGATGACACTACCCAGTGTTTCTGAAAGCAAGATCTTATCTTTTAATTTTTAAAAGTTGTATCTAAAACTCTAAATAATTCTATTTTCTTGTTAAAAGTCCACTCAAGCTGATTCAATTACTTTAGAATCCAATTGTTAAGACGACCTGTTTTTCTCTACTCTTATCACAATAGTATCAGTGAATAATTCACTTACGTTACCCCGTGGGTTACCATAGTCGTATCCTAAACTTCAAATAATTGTCTCCTTTTCGTCAAAGTCCACACAGACAGGTTCAGTTACTTTAGAACACTCTTTGATAAGACAACTTATTCTCTTTATCTCTATCAAACTGTGAAAATCAAGTTAAAATATCGCCCTTTATGGCTAATCACTCACACGCCAGCTAACGTCACGTTTTATTTCGCTAACTAATTTTATGACTGAACTGTACTTTTTTCTTCACTGTACTCCAATTGTTCTTGCGCTCGCTTGGTCTCCTATATTTATAGGTTGATCACTTAATCCTCGAACTTTCTGTAAAGTACGCAAACGGCTCTGATTTAACAATACTCAGTTAAGGTAACCAGAAAAATAGCGAAGGTTCGAGCAATATGACGACAACAATATTAATAAAGCCTCGACAACAATGAAATTGCAAACACGACCTGTACAGAGTTACGCAACCAAACTTATCATAACTATCGTCTTTAAAATAACTACTTTTAACTCTCTTGTTATAGAAAACAAATTAACTCGCAATATAAATTGAATAATAACGCCTACACTAAACAGTCTTGTATATCCAACATAGAGTTATAAGCCCTCGAGTTTAATATTGAGTTATCAGGAAGCACTATCTACCTTAGAGATTTAGATTTTTCTTATTATTAATCTTTTTCTGTGTAAGATGACACCAAGATTAGCGTTGACCTAGGCCCGGCATGGCCAGGTGGTTAGGGAGCTCAACTCGAAATCTGCGAGTCGCGGGTTCGAATCCCAGTCCCACCAAACATGCTCGCCCTTTCAGCCGTGAGGGCGTTATAATGTGACGTTCAATCCCACTATTCGTTGGTAAAGGACTAACCCAAGAGTGGGTGGTGATGACTAGCTGCCTTCCTTCTATTCTTACACTGCTAAATTAGGGACGGCTAGCGCAGAGAGCCCCCGTGTAGATTTGCGCAAAATTCAAAAAACAAACAAACAAAACAAAACTAGCGTTGACCTTACCGAAACATTTTTTTTTACAATACAGGATTTGTTAAACAGGTATTTAGGTATAGTGTATGGGTGTTGTCAGTAGGTGGGTGGGAGATGGTTGTCGGTGCAACTCTGTTCTATGGTCACGGAACATTAAAACTACTGAACATAGAGTTATAATTTTATAATACATTCCCCCATTTGAAAAAAAAAAATCCTGGCGACACCCCTGTAATGTTACTTTTTGAAAAATTATAAATACAACACTCACACAAACTTCACTTTTACACGAAATAAAGAAACTTTACTTTTTCCCTTAAGTAATTCAATATATCATGAACCATAATAGTGGTTGATAATAGGGGACGCACAGGAATTTGCTCCAAACTCAAATAACATATTCGGACAAAAACCACCTAAAATACCAGACTTATTATTGAAACAATACTCAAAACCTTCCTTTTCAATACTTAAGACCACCACAACATTAATAATAAGTAAATGAGTGATTTCACGATTGCAGACAAAATCAAAATTTGCTCATTTGTTCATATTAATATTATTGTTTCACAAGTCTACATCAAAATCGACTGGGTATTTTGCACCAAACCTAAACAGATATACTGCATGAAGCGCTGCAAATGTCCATATCATATTTAAAAGCTCATTATTTTTCATTGAAAGTTGATTCACGTGGTTATTAATACGTAATAGATGCGATGTTGTTATGAGTGGCTGTCTGCCTATATACTCGACGCGTATTAAACGCGTGTTTACACGACACCTCAGGCACAAAGCCACATGGGTCAGTAAAGAATTACTTTAAAAGACATGAAGTTTTACTTAAAATGGTGTTTTAGAAATATGTGTTTGATTTGAAAAGGCTGCTCTTCTACTGGTAAAATATTATATGCGCGTAGTGGGGGTTGTGTCATACTCTAGGCATATATTTGCCCATTGCTGTGCAGTAACAAAGCCAACATACAAGATACTTAAAGATTGAGAATTTAAAATCTACACATAAGGATCGCAAAAAGTGAGTAAATAAGGCTGGAGATTTGCTGCTGACAGTTTGCTCAAACTACAAATCCCTATTTTGACTCCGCTAAAATTGATAAGTACTGTAAACATGGAGTCAAAATAGAGATTCGTAGCTTGATGAAATAATATAGACACCATTTCCAGCCTTGTT